CACCGGGCGCAACATCTGGGGTTAGGGCAAATCCACAGGTTAGGGGACGCAAATCCACGGGTTAGGGGGCGCAAATTACTTGCCTTGCCCCGGGTGCTGACAACCCACGCTACGCCACTGATGTCATCCATTGGTTTATAACAAGTTATGTAAAGTTGATTTTCCTATATTTCAACTAAACTCCTTCTTCAGAAGAGAAACAAAAACTTTTTTTAAAGAATGTTCTAGTTAGTAGCCTTCTGATCCTTTTTGAAGATGCATGTGGATGCTGCAAAATGTTTATATGTAGGATGAGTACCAACCCCACAATAAGCATGTGCCTGGAAGCACCCGGATTTGAATAACTGCAAGGTTTTTTATTTCCAAACTGGGATTCTGAGGCCATGCTTAACCTGATAATAAGCCTGGTTAAAATTAATGCACTTGCTTTGGCATGGGCATGATGCTTCTCTGATGAAAGTTTGCTTCAAAAATAATTGGAGTCCTTTGGTACAAGTGAATATTGTACTGATCTTTCATTTTTAAAAAGAAACTATTACATTTCCCCTCCCCTCTTTCTTGTTGTTGCCAAGGGTCGATTTATTATTATGTTATTTACTGGTATTTTATGTAAATAGTTTTGGAGAGCTGCCCAGACAAAAATCTGTTCAAGAAGGCCTAGAATGCATTTAAAAAGCACAGTTCTGAATTAATCTGCTGCAAGAAGTTTTTCTTCTGTCATTTTCAGACTGAGACAGACTGCAGACTTGGTAAAGTGCTGTGACATCTTCCAGAAACATTTTTTAAAATACACGCTGCCTGAAGAAAAAGTTCTGTACAACTCAAGTAAAAAGGCTCACCTGCCAAGACTGGTAAACTTCCATCCTGATAAAGGAATAACTGTTTCTATTTCTGATGTTCAGAAATGAGTGCTGCTGCTCAAATCAGTAGGTTTGGGGGGAGCCAAGTTTGCACCCTCCTCATGGAACATTAGGAGGGAGAGGAGTAATGAAATGGAGTATCATCAGCCAAAGTAGAGTCAAATCTCAGTTTCCGAATACCTCCATTTTGGAATGTTTCAGCTCCCGAACGCTGAAAGCCAGGAAGTAACTGCTCCAGTTTTCGAACGATTTTCAGAAGCCGAATGTGCTATGCGGCTTCCGTTTTGAGTTTCCCTATTACACTGAGGCTTCCACTTTCAGTTTTCGGTTGTTGAACGTTTTGGAAGTTGAACGGTCTTCCGGAATGATTATGTTCGACAACAGAGGTTTGACTGTACAACAATATTCTGTTGCCAGTCCCACCTGCTTTTTAACAAGTTCTGCCCTTTTCTTGTTGATGGTCAAACATGTAATTTTACCTTTTCTCTTTGCTTCCTTCTCTTTTTTTACTAGTGATAGGTATTTGTAGCTTAACCACCCTTTTGAACATAGCTGGGCAGCTAAAGAGTAGCAAAAGAAGGGATGATTTTGTTTTGCTTGGGGCTTCATGAAGTGCAATTGCTACTACAGCAGTACTGCTGGCTGCATTGTCTGATAGAAATATAAGTGATGCATAAAACGGGAGACTTCAGTAAAATGACAATAGAGAAGTTCGCCTTTCAGAAAGAAATCAATGTTGCTGGATACAATTTACCAAAAATAAAGGCCCAAGTGATACATTCAACTAGTGATTTGCTGGAGGGGCACCTGACCTGGTTATTGAAAAGTGAGACAAATGTACTCTGCATATGCTCAGAGGCCTGAAAAGATGCAGTCCATGTTAATATAAGTAGAGGGTTTTGTAGCTATGATCCCTCAAGTGAGGTGGGTGTAATTCTTCACTGAGTGGAGGAAGATGTCCAAAAGCATGCACAGGAACAAAAAAAAACAAAAAACAAGCATGTGTTCTGAAGTGGCACAACACATGGATGTGACTAATAAAGGGTACCCTCACTACATTCCCACTTACGTCAAATGGCAGCGATTCTCCCTATTCTGACCTGTTATACACTATATGGTGATGTCCCTGATGTTTGACCTATGCAGGTGGTGGGGAATTTTAGATGCTGTCAGACCCTAGCTCACCCCACCTCCAGCCAGCGTGACCAGCGGTGAGGGTCAGTGGTAGATCTAGTCCAACAGCATCAGGAGACTCATAGATTCTGCACTATGTGGTTCATCTGCCCATAGGACATAAGGTTTGTTTGACAAAGAAAAACCTTCAGTCAGTTGACCTTTAATCAATTCCTCTGGAAAAAGATTATGCTCACGAGTTTGCCTTGTTTTATTTTGAACACTAACAAAAAAATGAAACAAAGAAAGCATATGTTCTTTACGTTCCTTTATCCCCCTCCCCTTTATGTTGTTAGTGCTTTAGATACATTTCTTTGTTCACGGCTGGCTTATCTGGAATCATAAATAATCCATGATCAGAGAAGTAAAAAATAACAAAAAACCCAAACCAATTTCCATGTTAATTAAAGGCTGGGAAAGGAACAAAGGGGTTGTATGTTTCTCTGGAGGTTGCCTGAATTCTGCTGGGATTTCAGATGCAATGCGCTCTTCTAAATTCACCTCTTTTCATACTAACTGACACCCATCAGTCCCTTCATGTTTAAGAATTTAGAGAGATTGACCAAGAAAGAAAGAAAGAAAGAAAGAAAGAAAGAAAGAAAGAAAGAAAGAAAGAATATTTCCAAAGTAAGGACTATCAGGAAATAACATTATCATGACTTTCATAGGAACAGTGAAATTGAATTCTCTGAAAGCTATTGTCACATACTCTGGGTGCTGAAAGCTAGAACTTCCCAGTTTGAAAATCTCCTTTACCGTGAACTCAGTGTGCTGACATATTGGCTAACAGCAGCATTCTAATGCATGTCTACTCAGAAGTAAGCCCTATTAAGTTAAATGACACTTTACCCCAGGTAAGTGCAATCCTATGGGAGTCAGTCCCACTGAACCCAAAGTGGCTTGCTTCAAAGTACACACACAGGATTGCATAGTAAGATGCATACACACTTCCATTCACTCTGCATCCAGCACTACATCCATCCCACCATTGGTTTGGGAAGCAGTGTACACACAATGTTAGCTATACAGTATATAACCCACCTCCTTTCTGTGTGTATCCTGTCATTTCTTAGGAAAGGCTGTGTTTTGATATTCCCTACCAGCCCAAACCAAATCAGATTTGATCCCTGTGTGTTCCATTAATAATGTGTCCACAACCTAAGTCAGTTGTGAGCCAAAACCCAAGCTTTGAACAAACAAGTGGTCTTAATTAAACCACCAGATACAGTCCCCACTCTGAAATATGGGGTAATAGTTATTATTTATTTAATTGGTTCATTGCCTAATAGCAGTCAATGTCTAGGTGGCTTTCAACAAGTATAGAAGCATACAAAAAAATTTAATGCAACCTTACAGTGTGGATTTAATCATCACCACATACACAGTGCCTTGAACACTCAAAGTGATATATAAATTTTAAGAAGTTAGGTAGGTGGGAGTCCAAAATCTGGTGGACCAAACGCTCTCCACTCATTTTTAAAAATGCTCTAAGGCAGGTGTTGAGACTCTTTGGCCCTCCAGCTGTTGCTAAACTGCAACTCCCATCAGCCCTAGCAAGCATGACCAGGCATGATGGGACTTGTAGTTCAGCAACACAAGGAGGCCAAAGCATCCCCACACCTGCTCTAAGAAAAGCAGCAGCTGCTGTGCTTCCAACTTTGTCCCCTTTTCCACCCTACTCCTTTGGCAGTGAAAGGGCATTGATTCTGGAAGGAACAGTAGCATTGTCCTTTGTGACTTGGAGGACTAGGATAAGCACATGGCAACTGTAGACGAGGATATTAAAAATTACAAAATATTGTTGCCACATGCCCCAGACCCATCCCTGACAGAGACACCATGCCTTTAATGTATTTTTAAAAGTTGATGACCTCCAACATTATTTATTTTTCCTTCCCAAAGGTTTCTGTGGCTCTTCTAGGCTGGTGGGGCTTTTTTGGTGTGTGTGAATATTATGATTTTATAATCAGTGGCAGACTTTGGGCTTTAAAATCTCAGTGGCACCCTGTGCAATGCCAGAATCGGCAACCCCCTGCCTCTCACCTTCCATTGTTCATCATTGTTGTGGTGCCCCTTGCAGCACCCAGTGTGGGCGAACAGGTTGCGTTCCCCTAAATCTGCCCCTGTATTTATGCTTTAAAGTGTTTTTGAGTGTCTGTGTTGCTAGTATAATGCATTTCATTTATGTTGTGGTTTGGCGACCTTTTTGTATTCTACTGGGGGAACTGAATTTCCCAGTCCTGCGAATCCTGCGGATGGGGATTTCCCCTGTTGAGGGTCGGGATGGTTGGTTGTTGCTTTTTGGTGGCGCACCTGAAAAAACACCTGACTCGATGGCAAATGCACACCAGCCAGGCATTTAAGGGTACAAGTGCCCATTGCACATACACAGGTGAAAAAATCCATCTGGGGTTTGACACCGCAAAATGAAATGCTGTCCACCGTTTGACACAGGTTTGACACCGCAAAATGAAATGCTGTCCGACCACAAAAGCATAGCTGTCAACTTTCCCCTTTTTTAAAGGGAAATTTCCTTATTCCGAATAGGATTCCTCGCAAGAAAAGGGAAAAGTTGACAGCTATGCACAAAAGGGACCTAATAACTCAGCTCTAAACTTATCACCCGAAGTTTCTCCTCTCCTTGGGGCATGTTAACCCGGATTCATAAACCAACCCGTCAAACCCGCCGCCGAGGATACGCGCGCTCGTGCTGCCAGGGGACTCCGAGGGTGTGGGGGCGGGATGCTCGCGTCGTGCAACCTTAAATTCACTGTAAAAAGCAATAGATCCTCTCCGGGAGGCGCTTAAGTCTGCGCCCTGCGCCGCCTCTCGCTCCCTGCAGGTGTCGCTCTCCAGCTAAGCGGCGCAGCGTGTGGGCGAGCGGCAACAAAGCGGCGGGGCGTGTGCGCGAGGGCGGGGCCGTCCTTTGCCTCGCCGCGCGACGTGTGATTGATTGAATATGGTAATACGGAGGCGGGGCTAAGGCGCCCTCCGCGGCTTGCGGGAAAAAACGCGCAGGTTGTGCAAAAGTGGCTGATTGTGCCGGCTCGCCTGTCTCTGGCGGCGGCTCTGCGAGGGACCCTCGGAGATGTGACCGCCTCCCGTAGGCCGGCTGTGCGGATTGTTACTCTTCTTTTTCTTCTTCTTTTCTTCTGCGGCAGCAGCAGCAGCAGCTGCTTCTCTCTGGAGCCAGCGACCTTTTCTGTGGGCGGAACATGCTTTAAAACTGTGAGTTGTTTTCGGCGCGTTGACTTTTCGCGAGGCAGGCTGCCAGCTTCCCCGCCTGGGCTTTCTCCCCTCAGAAAAGCCCTCGGTTGGCCTCGCTAGCTAAGAATAGCTGCTGGCCGAAACTGCCCCGGGGGTCGTCGGGGGTCGTAGACGGAGTCCGGGAGCAGCTGGTGTATCCCGAGGCGAAACAAACTTGCGAAGAAAGTAAGCCCGCTTGCATTCAGGGGCACCGGCGGGTGAAGAAATAGCAGTCCCTCAGGACTGTCCCACGACTTTTTTTTACTCCCTTCTATGCTGGGAGAGTGGATGAGGCAGCCCAGCCCATTACTACTAATACTAATAATTAATTGCTCCTCACACGCCCCCGCTCCTTCCCCCAGCGTTGGGGTTGCCTTTCTGGAGTTTGGCGAAGAGCCAAAAAAATTAAAAATAAAAATCAGTGTATAGTTTGGCAGAGAAAGCCACTTCCTGTTTTTAAGGCTTGAAAAAAAGGAGGGAGGGGAGCCAGTTGTAACGGTGAACATTTCTTGACACCTCTTTGTTTTAAGAGCCTTGTGGGCTGCGTTATGAAATGCTGCAGAAATTGCTCACAAGTTTGTGGGTATTTGTTTCTTTTTACCTCATTCAACCCAGGCAATGATGCTGAATTTGATTTTTTGTGGTGGTGCGGGGAGAGGGAGGGGGGGCAGACAAGGTATTTAAATATACGTGGGTGGATTTGCCACAAAAAAGGATTAAGAAAATGAAGGCGCTGGCACATAGTACCCTGAATTATTGGTTGGTATGGGTGTGAACATCTGCAAGCCACACCCCTGATTTCTCCTTATATTACCCAAATTGTGCCACCCCCCTTTCTTAAAACAAAAAGCAAACCAAAACCTACCAATACCCAAGGGGCGTTGCCCCGCCCACCCCTTCCTTCCCCTTCAATTTAAGCATTGCATGGGTGTCAACATGTCTCTGAATGCATGCATACTGTATGGCTTTGTGCTTCACGCAGCACCTTAAGGGGCATCTTCATTGTGCAAGGAACTGTATAAACAGCTAGGAGGGAAGGGAGGGGGGGATTCCTTTGTCTGTTTCCTCCCTGTGCTTTTCCCCCTGAAGCAACTGTAAGAGCAACAGCAGTGCTGCACAGCCAGACCTCTCAACATGTCATCCAGCTTTCTAAAACTGAAGGGAACACACCCACCCCATTCCTTTCAGCTCCGTTTTTTTTTTTTTTTAAATATATCTGCTGGTTGGGTTCCTCAGAGCAGAGTATTTGAGAATTCACATCTGCTCTCTTAATAATGTTCTCTCCCTTGCCTGAGGAATGTAGCCGGCTATCTTTTGTCATTTTGCAAGAGCCATTTGATTTTACTAATGCAAAGTTGCTCTTGGTGCCCTTCGCTACTGGATCTAAGGCAGGGTAGTGAACCTGAGGTCCTCCTTTTGTTGGACTCAGAACTCCCATCAGCCCCAGCCAGAATGACTAATGGGAAGAGTCGGTGAGACTTAATAGGCCAACGAGAGCTAGAGCACTGCAGGTTGCCCAGCTGTGCTGTAGCCTCTGTAAGTGTGGGTTGCACTAATGCTATTTATCTAGGGCTGCCACATGTCTGGAATTTCCCGAACGTAGCCAGGATTTGTGTCCGGATTTTCACTTTTTGAAATATGGCAGCCCTAACTTATCACTCTCTTTGCCTGGCAATGTATGTACTTAATTTTAAAGTTCAGTTTGTGGACAATGGGAGTCCCTGCACATGTGAAGGAATCTAGAACCCTCCAAGCTACAGTAGTCATGCGAAAACAGCCTTCTGTACTATTAAGAGAATGAGTTGAAAAGCAGTTCAAATTTGCCCTTCTATGATCTTTGCCTTTTTCTCTAACTGTTCGCGACAAACATGATGGTGAAAAGTTTGTTCTGCTTTATAGGGAGGTTCTTAGAATGCTCTCACCGCAGCCACTAAAAGCACTTGATGTATTCAAATTCTTAGCAGTCCTGTTGATATTGTTATTATACAATCTGCAAAAATAGGACAGATGATTGCAAAATACAAGGAATCTTTCCAGGCAGCACTAAAAGTGCTCTTTGTTTACAGTGTTTCATGACCACTTTTCAACAAATATTTTCAGAAAGTGGCTCGCCCTACCCCCTCCCCCAAAGATACAAGTATGAGATCCAGTTTGAAAACCATATAAAAACAACGAATCCCCAGAAGCCTGGTGGAGTAATGTCTTCTTCTACCCCTGACATTATTGGGGGGGGGCACATCCCGTAACTCTGAAACAGCTACAAAAAGGTATTGTTCGGGTGCACAGCACACTTACCACCCCAACAGATGGAATCTACAGCAGAGTCTTCTGGTAAAAGGCACTCTCTGGGCACATGAGACCCAGACCATAAAAACCAGCACTTTGTAAATGAACTAGGAACCATTGCAGATATTTCAGATCAGCTGCATCACCTACCCACAACCATCACGAGACAGGCAGCATCTTACCCTGTATCAGTTCAGTTGTAGTTCCTAAACAGTGGGACAGTCCATCTTTAGTCTAGCCTTCATCATCCTGGTGTTCTCCAGAAGTGGATTTGAATTGCAACTCTCATCAGACTGTCACAAGAGTGTCCTGAATGACAGCAGAGTCTATTTCTGCCTCTGCACTGTAAATGAAAAACTTGTGTTTCAAACAAAGGATATTTTATTCTAAAAGGCTCTTCTTCTGTTTAAAAAAGCACTTTATTCTAAAATAAACTCAGAGCAACTAGCAGAATAAGTAAGTTACAGAAAACACAGTAGAACAGTTGGAAAGAAAAATCAATTTCATACATTTAAACCAAGAGCAGAGCAGAACAATTTAGTATAGAGATGGAATTTTAACCCCATACTGGAGCTGTAGCAGAATAAGATCTTAGCTGCTCATATGTAGCTTTAATGAGAAGGCCAACTAAACTTCTCCTGGCTGGGACTTCCACAAGCTGGGGCGCTACAATAGAAAAGACCCACAGTTGAGCACACAATAGTAAGAGGTGTTAAAGGTGCTTTTAATGTATATGAAGAGGATGCACACATATTTCATGTTTACATATTGGAGACTGAAATGGGATGTAGAAAGCTCATTACAGACTCCAGCTGAACAGCGAACACAGAACTGGATGGCTGAAATTTGTCAGTCCCTCCTCTAATATTGCCGAATAGCCATAGAGTCGTAGAACTGTAGAGTTGGAAGGTACCATGAGGGTCATCTAATCCAATAGAAGAGTATATGCACTTTAGTGGCTTAAAACGCAGCAAAGCCGTTTCTCCCTCCCCGCGTCTCAAGTCACATTTGCAATTTCTATATGCACCTGATACACATTACCTAATTCGTTTCTCCATGCTGGTAACCCCTGTCATCTGCACGTGTACAACAGCTGTCTGAACTGTACACACCTGAGCTTAATGGTTGTTTGCATGTTCAAGTTGGACGAAAGCTGGTTACAGGGGAAACACATCAGACAGGAGTATTTCTTCAAGCTGCAATGGTGGGAACACATTGGAACCAGAGTAAGCCATAATGTGTACATACTCTGTTCCTTGTTTATTCTGTTTTATGTAAGAGATGGGGAGCCTGTGGCCATCCAGGTGGTGTTTGACTCTCATCAGCCCCAATCAACGTGGCCAGTGGTCAGAGATTATGGGAATTGCAGTCTAATGACTTTTGGAAAGTCGCCCCCATTTTATACTATATATCACTTTGTTAGATGCTTATTTTATTATTCAGTAGAAGCAAAAGTGAGACAGCTAACAGTGAGCCTGTTGGGGGCACAGTTCATAGCCTTCCATTTTAAAAAAAGTGATGAGAAAGTGCCTTAGAAGATTATTTGATTAGCATTGCATTAGAGTTACTTGTTGAAGAATGGGCAGCACTGCATGTAGCAAATAGATAAAAGATAAGAACCTAATCAATCACAGGCCTACTCCCATTTCCTGGTAGATTGATAACTATCTATGCATCCATATCTATCTTATGATTTCCATCTTATGTGAAAGAATCATGACTGGGTGAAAATCTTAGTCTACTCTTCTGAGTCCCATCTGTGGATCTTTCCATTTGCACACCTGCCATTTTAAAACCAAAGAGAGGTGCCACAGTTTATCCAAACAAGCTGGATTTTCCCCTCAGTTGGCATTGTTGCAAGATCAGTCTTGATTATTAACTTGTGTTTAATTTAATGATGTGCCTTAATGTAGTTAACACAGAGCCTGTTAAAAAGTGCTGTATATTGAGGAATATTACATCAAGCAGTGGACAGGAGAGACAGAGAAATGGCTTTATTTCATAAGAGCATGTGTTGTCCTGCTGGATCTTGATTGAGGGTTTGGTTCAGAAATTGCTTTCAACTAGTGTCATGGACCTGACAGGAGGGAGAGAACATAGATCTGAAGATGAGTGATAGCTGATAGAAATAAACTGGACAGGGAAGGCTGATAATTTTGGCACAACCAGCAGAGTGAGTTGAATGATAGCACAGCATATGAAAAGCCTTGTTTTGGGAAAACTTTATGAGATAAAGCCCTGTGTCTAGTTCTCACGTCATATTGTTGTTTTGTGGCATTGGTGTGTGGTAGTCTTCCTTTTCCAGGATGCTGCAGTCTCCTACTTTCTTTGCGTCTTCAAAAGTCCCACCTGCCTTTTCTACCAGAGCACGTTCTAGTCCATCCATTCTCTCTCACTTATTCCATAATTTCCCTGCAGTCCATCCCCAACTCAACATTATACTCTCACAAAACTAAAGTGAACTACAGTGGTACCTCGGGTTAAGTACTTAATTCGTTCCAGAGGTCCGTACTTAACCTGAAACTGTTCTTAACCTGAAGCACTACTTTAGCTATTGGGGCCTCCTGCTGCTGTCGCACCACCGGAGCACAATTTCTGTTCTCATCCTGAAGCAAAGTTCTTAACCTGAAGCACTATTTCTGGGTTAGCGGAGTCTGTAACCTGAAGCGTATGTAACCCGAGGTACCACTCTACAT